GTGATCAACCACAAAATTCGCTTCCTTGGATCCGAAGGTTCTGCACTTGTTGAGTTAAGGTGTGAATGGCCTTGATCATCACTTGTGCCCCAAAAACGCCGTCGGGCCTAGAAATACAACAAACTTTACTACTCAAGTCCTAGTATTTATTCATCCTGCAACTGTTCAATCTTTTTCAAAATCTTATCCAAAAATAAATTTAACTATGAAATTAATTATCCAAGCCCTACTTCTCTTAGCTCACACTCTCCTCCAATCAAATCCCGCCGCGTTGCGCCTCCCCATCTTACGATCCTACTCCCAACTCTCCCTCTCCGTCGCCGATTACGGCGCCAAGGCCGATGGCCGCCACTACGACACCGTCGCGATCCAATCCGCAATCGACGACTGCTCTGCTGCTTCCTCCTTCCACGGCCGCCCCTGCCACGTCGGCTTCCCGCCCGGCACGTACCTGACCGCCACCCTGCGCCTCAAATCCGGCGTCGTACTGAACATCTCGAGCACGAGGATGGCGGACTACCCCGAGCGCCAGGAGAGGTGGTACGTGGTTGTAGCGGATGGCGCGACGGACGTGGGGATCACCGGCGGCGGGGAGATCAACGGCCAGGGGCTGAGCTTTGTGACGAGGTTCGACGAGAGAAAGAATGTGATGGTGAGTTGGAACCATACCGGCGCTTGCCTGGGAGACGAGTGCCGGCCGCGGCTGGTGGGGTTCATCGGGTGCACGAATGTGCGGATCTGGGATGTGAGCTTCAATGAGCCGGCTTATTGGTGGTACGTTGTTCTTTGGCAGCTTGTACGTTTGATTGCTGGTTGCTGCTGTATAGCCTGCATTTGCTGTTTCTGTTCTTCTGTGAACTATGATTGGTAGTTATTTGATATTCTTTCGTGATGGATTTTGTGAATTTAGTAGATAAATGGATATGTTAATCTGTGATTTTGTGATTTAGTTGTAAGATTGAATCGCAGTGTTGATTATTGCAAGTGTACGATAAATCGAATGCTAATCACAGTATCACACGGATATTTTCTTGTTTACGGTAGTTCTTTTTTCATCTAACAGAGTACACTAAAATGAAAAATTGCAGCTTGCACATAGTCCGGTGTCAAAACACGTCGATTCACGACATTTCAATATATGGAGACTTCAATACGCCAAACAATGATGGCATAGATATTGAGGACTCGAACAACACTCTCATAACAAGGTGCACCATAAATACCGGAGATGATGCCATCTGCCCCAAGACATATACTGGTCCCATTTACAATCTCACTGCTACTGACTGCTGGATCAAGACAAAGTCTTCGGCCATCAAACTCGGGAGTGCCAGCTACTATGCTTTCAAGGGTCTGGTTTTTGACAATATAACCATCGTTGAATCTCATAGAGGCCTTGGGTTTCAAATACGTGATGGAGGTAAAAGAAATTTGGTTTCACTATTTTTCCCCTCGTAAAATTGACTTGCACATTGTTTTATATTCAGATTAGACAGACTGATCATGTTGAAATGCCAGATCATATATATATAGTTAGACTGACGCTGTGCACTTGATTGGTCTTTTAGTTTAACTCTTGGATAGTGATCTTGCCTAACAAACTACATTAGTGGACACTTGGTTGGATAAGATTATCTGTGAACATAAATTTAGCAGCAAAAAGTTACCATAAGTTAAAAAAATTTATGAACCTGAGGCTGAGGTGTTGTATCTGTTACGAAGAACTCCTTAATGTGAAACTCACCCCCTTGCAATCTTGTATTTACTTACAAATAACTTATTCCAAGATGGACAATTTGTTGAAGAAAAGAAAAATGATATCAAGGGGTATTTGTAAATGGGATAATAATTGTCCTGTTCTGTAATTAAGCTAAACCACAGGTATGTACATTTTCAGTAATTAACCCGACATATTATGAATATCCCTAACATTAAGGGGCTTCAAGAATCTATCCAATCTGGTTAGGGATGATTTTATTAATTTTTTTTTTTCAAGTTATACGATTTTCTGTGATTTCACTCTCAAATCCCAATAACTATTTGCCCGTACAGGAAATGTCAGTGACGTCACCTTCTCAAACATCAACATCACCACCAGATACTACGACCCGTCTTGGTGGGGCCGGGCCGAACCCATCTACGTCACAACCTGCCCGAGAGACTGCAATGCAAAAGCAGGCCCCATATCTAACCTGCAGTTTATAAACATCACAGCCACTTCAGAAAACGGTGTGTTTTTGTCGGGCTCCAAAAACGGGCTCCTGAGCAATGTGAAGTTCTTGAACGTGAAGTTTACCTACAGAAGGTGGACGGACTATACAGATGTGCTCGTGGATTACAGGCCCGGTTGCCAGGGGCTCGTGAACCACAGCTGCGCCGGTTTTTTGATGGAACACATTGATGGGCTAGTTATGGAGAACGTGCACATGAGGTGGTCCGACGAGAACATTAAGGGATGGAACAACCCACTCGAATTTCTTCCCTCGACCGTGAATAATGTCTCGTTCGTGAATTTCTATTCTGGGGTGTACAGACAACGAGCTTGGGAGTAGAGAACTAGAGAGATGCAGGATGTAGAGGCTATTTTTGAGGACAATAATGGAACTTTTGGATAATTGAGCAAATTGCAGAGTGTGCTTTTGTGTTAAGTTATAATTTCAAGAATACCCTGCAGGGTTTATAACCCAATTGAAGATGAACTCGATTGTTGTTTCAAAATTATGAATTTGACATCGGCACTTGGCAGTTAGGATATGAAGCAATTATTGCTAAAAAAATGGATATATATGAAACTTTCCAGTTTAATAAATCTAACTAGTGTAAATAGCAATTGAAGGATACAATAATCATTGTTTTGGTTTTTGGCATAACCAAAACAATTAACTTAGTTGAGCAATTGGAAAAAGTTACATCACATCCCCCATCACCTAAGCTTTTAACTGAAAAACTTTAAAAAGTGTAGTGTTATTAAAACGAAATGAGTTGTTTATCGTCTTGGCTTGTTAAGGCTTGAGTTAAGTTCGTTTAAAGCTCGATTTCTTAATGAGATGGCTCACCTTGGCTCATTAAGACTCGAAATGATGCCTTTTTAGATATTTTTTTTGTATCTCGGCTCATTAAAACTCAAACTTATAAGCTAGTTAATGTTTGAACTCGACTCGTTAATATTCGTGAATGAGCCAACTTTATTGACTTGTTTAGTGAACGTGCCGAGATCGTTAAAGGCTTGAACTCAAGCTCGAATATAATAAGCTTGAGATCGGCTTGACTCGTTTATACCTACAAGTGGTAAAACATGAATAACATAGACCAAAACTGCAATTTCTCCTAAAATCCTAGGAGCACAAATGCATTATTCCCAAACCCCAAGGCCAATATCAGATACACTAATACCACTCAGGCGAACGACGTCGTCTGGACGCTCCCTAAACTCGGATCCCAAATCAACTCGCATCGAAATCACTGCACTCTCTAAAACACTCTGCTCCCAAAAATGACGCCGTTCAAGCCACTCGCAACCGCCGCGACCACTCTCCGGGCCCGCCTCAGCCCATCCCTTCGCACCCGAGGTGGCGGAGGACACGGTCCCAGCCGCTGGACCAGCCCAGGCCACGAGGATCGCCCCAAGGGTTTCGCCTTCAACCGCACCCCGCCTCCCCCCGGCGAGTCCCGGAAATGGGAGGACTGGGAGCTGCCGTGCTACGTCACCAGCTTCCTCACCATAGTTATCCTCGGAGTGGGCCTCAATGCCAAGCCCGATCTCACGATTGAGACGTGGGCCCACCAGAAAGCCCTCGAGCGGCTCGAGCTGGAATCTGCCGAGCCCGTTGAGTCCGATTGAAGGAGGTATCTTTTGTTTTCTTCCCCATTATGTTGGCGGAAGGGTGTTTTTCCCTGAATTATCAGTACTTGTTCCAGTGAAACTTGTTTGAAGAAATAATTGCAATCCCCCCCCTTTTTTGTTGTTTCATTTG